AATTCCTTAGGGATGGAATTTAATATCTTAATATTTTTTCCCCAAATTTCACACAGGTGGGATTAAGCGCCATAATTTTAAAAGAGGTCAAATGACCCATGGGTCCAAGAGTCATAGAGCGTTGGGGTCTATTGGTGCTGGAACAACACCTGGCCGTGTATACAAGGGGAAGAAAATGCCTGGCAGGATGGGAGGAAGCAAAAGAAAGATCCGAAAGCTCAAGATTGTGAAAATTGACAATGAGCTTCGAGTTGTGATGATCAAAGGTGCTGTCCCTGGTAAGCCAGGAAATCTGCTACGTATAACTCCAGCTAAGATTGTTGGGAAGAACATACCAAAGAATTAATTTCATGTATTGTAACTTATTTGATTTTGGTTAGTCTTGCATCATTAAAAATGCTAAATCCTGTATAATGTTTCTACTTTTTGTAGTAGAAGTTTAGTATTTCAGTTGAGGAATCTTTTGATGAATTCTTTGTTGTATGATTTTAAGTTTAAGTTTACCATTTTTTTGAGTTGATTCCTGAATTTGGGAATGGCTCCTCAATTTGCAAAGTTCTTAAATTAATCAGTCAATTCTACTTCTCAATATTGTTATTCTTAGTGTATGTGTTCCCTCTGCTGAATTGTAGAATATGTATCCTTTGTACCATCTGAAGTGCCTCTACTCATACCATAGGAGGCTGGTAATAGATATGCTGTTCCTTCTTTTGTTATTTCTTTCTATGATGAATGCAACCCTGTACGATACTTAGTTAATTACATTTTTCTTTCTTTGTAAGTATTTTTATTTCTCATTCATGGTCACTCTATTCTTGCAAGGGAGTCAAAATCCCTCTGATTAGAGCTACATATCTGTCTTATTTCTTGCAATTTCGAACCCATACTGTGAAAAACAAACTCAAACTTGACTTCGGATGATAGAGTAATGCATATTGGGTTAGTGGTATGCACAAAAGGAGGAGAGGGTGTGCAGTGCCTTGTCATGAATTCATGAGATATACAAAGCCAGAAAAGGTGAATATGAGAGACAGTGGAACAGGATAGGGTAAAGCAGGAGAGATCAAAGTCCACTAGAGAAAGAGAGAGAGAGAGTTGGTGCCTTGTCATCTTTTCATGAGAGTCATACAGCAGCCTTTCATGTGAATTGTGGAGCCTGACAAGGTGGACGATAGTGTTGATCAAACTTGGATTTCTTGACATATTTTAATCTGAAATTGGGTGTCGCCAATAATTGGACTGAGTTCTGGCAGATGCTCTGGCGAAAGAAGGAATCCTGAGACCAAACGATTTACTGGAGGAGGTCCACGGAAGCACATAAGATCTGGAGTGTGCATGACTAGCTACCATGATCGATTGGATTTTTTGTGATGCACTTGAGTTGAGGCATAGTGGGACTAACATGTATGCCCTCTCCTCGGTGAGGTCTCTTCATGTGTCATCATGGATGTCTGGGCCGCTCTTTGTGTTTTTTTGAGATGTACTTCAGGGCAGGGTAGACCTTGCAATGCAAGGATTAAGGATGTTTCAATGGGTGAAAAGTTTCTTCATCTCCCACCAGTAGCTTTCTACCCTTTAATACAAATATCCACATTTCAAAAAAAAAAAAAATGGACTGAGTTCTGGGTATTCTAGGTGTTTTGTATTTCAAAAGTGTAGCAGTGCAAGTGCTCCTCTGACAGGAAGGACCGCCAGAATTTCTATGGCAGGATTTTCATTAGTTTTTGAAATTTTATGACCTGCTATTGTAATGACTTAAATATTTATTGGCATAATGACTGTGAGAGTGATTACATTATAGTAGATCAGTTCAGTTGAATTGAATCTCGTCATCTCTGTGCCTGTGTTACACATATAGCTTGTTTTTGTAAATGAAGATTTTGTGATACTTGTCACTAGTATGGTGAACTTGCATGATTCAATGGCACTCCTGGTTTTGAAAGAGTGAAGGGGACTGCTGACATTGTGAACATAATGTACATCTGAGGGCAGGTGGTGTTAAACAAATGCTGTCTCATAAGTGATGATAGTAGTATGCTTGAGTGGTTGTTTGTTGTTTAGTTACTCGAGTGTTGGACTAGGGTTATTTGTTGTTAAACAATATTTTATATCCCCCCATGGGTCTGTGAGGAGAAGGTCTAATCCTACTTTCAGCTATTTAAAAGTATTTGTAAGTTAAGCAGGCATTGTACCTTGCACTGAACCAATTTGGTTATGTCATGCCAACTTTATCTCATTCAATGTTTACTTTGGATACGTGCATTTTGACACTAAAGTTCAAAGAGTTTGATATGGAATCATAAATATGAATGATATCTCAGGTATTTATACAGAGACAGTACCCATAAGGTAATCCAGTTGAAAGATATGATCATAACATGACAGCTGCAACAAGCATGAATGGGAAGTTTGGAAAGTGGTTAAAATTTTGCTATTTTTCCCATGCTAAACAGAACAGGTATTTTTCTTTTCCATTCTTTGTGTTATATTAAATCAATGATTCAGTTTATTGACCTTAAATGGCACCCTTGATAACAAGTCCATTTTTCCAATGGCATCCAAATTCAAAGAGATCAAAGCAAAAGTCTCTTGTTTCTCCATCTCCTCTGCACAGAAGTAGCCAAGACTGAGCTCCGTCCATTGCCCTCTGCGCCTCTGCAAGAGACTAACTTACCGTTCCTGAACTTTACCATCAGGGAGAGATAACCTTGATAGGGAGTTCCCAACCCGATGCCCCTTTCATCAACATGACTACGTACACAACTTCATATACAGTTCCTGGGGAAAGGTCTGATATTTTGAACTTCCCTCGCACATCCAGCCAACATACAGTTCTTAGTTTGGCTACTTCAATTTCATCATCACTGCATATCACGAGACATATCACAAGCATGACTGAGTGGCAATCGACAGCCACAAAACAATAATCCCCCTGAAAAATATTCTCTAAATCTCACCATGTTTCTTTGAAACTGTCCCTAATCCAACAGTCATGTTGACTCCAACAGATGTCGAGTGATCGTGCATACAGTACGAAGCATTGTGACCAGACGTTGCATCCTTCCAAGTTTTCTGCATGATGGGTTGGACCAGAAATTAATCAATGTCTAAGTTTCACAGATTATATCATTCACTGACGTGTTTTTTCAATTCAACTTTGTTGCACGTAGTAATATAGAAAACAGGACAGGGCTCGAGGCAGGAATACAAACCTTCCCTCTTGTGCTCAGGCAAGACCTTATTGGTGTCAGTTGCTACCGCCTTCCTCTTCAAATCCATGGGATATGTTCACAACAAAAGCAAAGATATACATACTCTTTAGACATATAAAGAACAACGTCGAAAAGAGCTAAAACGAGGTCAGAAACAGAAAGAGGAGGAGCTGCAACATAAACGAAGGTACCAAGAAACTTACTCTTAAGTCTTTTCATCTAATTTAGCCTCTATCTGTAGTCAATTAGTATGGAAATCTACTGTTTCTTCCGAGACGTGTGAGGATAGAGCAACACTGTGACTTACTTAGAACAAGGTTCCGAAAAATTACTACTAATTAAATTCTTCTCTATTGGAATTTGTTAATTAGCCACTAATGAAGTTGATTTGCGTGCAAGATGCAACTTTGATCCTGAGGGCAAATTCTACAGTAAGGTCATGAGTTTTGTCCGAAAGATTGCATTGGGTGATCTCAACTTTCATTCAAAAGTGAAAATTCGCGGAAGTAACACTTTTGCGTGCATTTACCATTGACCATTAAACAGTTGAAACTTGTGAGTGCAGGATGGGGTGGAAACAACCATTAGTGGAGGAAAAATAATTTCTCTGCAAATATTCAGAGGATGTGCATAAGACTACGGAAACACACGTGAAGGGTGAAACATTTCTGGAAGCCATCGTTATCATCAACTTGTTTGATCCTGGGAACCCATTGCAAGACTTTGAAATTATATTCTCTTCCCAGGACTTTCTCCAGATGTTTTCTGGGAAATCCACTGAAGCATTCAACTCATCTAGAATGTTGGAACGTGGTCCATCTCTTTATTCTATTTTTAACTGCCTTCTAAATGTCTTAATGCCATATTTATCATCAAACACGTATTTTTACTTTTGCTTCGCAATTATTTGGTTACAGTACACACTGAATAGTAATTATCTCCATGCCTAAACTGAAGCCAGGACTTGCAACCTTTTCTAGGAAAGAGATATGTACCATTTTCACACAGGCTTGAGTCTTTGACCTTCATTTCATATCTTTTTTCCCTTTTTTTTTTAATATTGCACCCAAATATATGTATATGCGTACCTATTTGCACATAAAGAAAAAAAGTATTAATGCAGTGATTAAATCCATTTCAAAAGGATTGGGAACTAGGCAACAGCATGAACTAGAGGTGTTATCATAAGTAGTTACATTATTCACAGAGTGGCAGTAGTAGAGAAAGTTTCATGCAGTCCACAGACATTAGCAGCACTTCTCAATAAAATGTCAGCTATTATACCCCTTCCCTATAGCAAAGATGAAAACTTTGACCTTAAAAAAAATTATTAAGTTGGGGCAATCAGTGAGGATGGCTTGCAATATGGCACCATCTGCCTACCAAAAGAAGAAAATACTATTTTAGAGTCACAAAGGATATATTACTACCTTCGGTTGAGTTAAATCAAATATAGCATGTCCAAGTAATTTCTTTCACGAGGTCCATGCATCATCAGTACTACTGACATTTGAGGTCCTTCACTTCTGCAAGGAGGAGATTTCGTAGTAAAACTCACCTAGTTTTCTGGGGTCCCTGCCGTGTCTGAATCTTTCTATATATAGACAGAACAAGAAACTGAATGATATATATTCCAGCTCAACTTAGTTCTTAATTTATCTTTAAAATATTCTCTTGCTGGTGAGTTCTTGTGTCATCTTTCCATGCAGGAGAAAATGAATTAAGCAAACCATATTGATCAATAACTTTTTCTGTTTGTAGGGTTACTGGTTAATAAGTTATCAAAAAATGTTTCATTCTCTAAAATACATTCGTGTTTTGGATCTAAATTCAGGCACTCTTGTAGAATTGCCAAGCTCTGTTGAAGAGTTGAAGCCACTAAGATACCTGGACCTCTCTAGAGCACAGATCAAAGTGCTTCTCAACTCAATGTGTAACCTTTACAATCTGCAGACACTTAAAACTTCTAGGGTGCCTTTGGCCCTTCGAATTGCCCAAGGACTTCGGTAACTTGGTTAACCTACGTTATCTTGAGCTAGATGAGATATTTTGGTTCAACTGCAGGATGCTACCGTCAAAAATGGGAAACTTAACCACTCTAAAAAACTTGAGCGCATTTCTTGCTAGTGACACAAGCGGACATGGAATTAAAGAACTGAAGGACGTGGCATATCTTACTTCACTGCACATGTTAAAGCTAGGAAAAGCAGTGGATGAGGCAGACTCAAAGTTAAATGAGAAGGGGAGTCTTCAGAAGCAGGTGTTAGAATGGAGTGGGAGAGCCTTCAACGAACAAGATAAAGTCGAAGCCGCGAGGGGCCTTAAAGACCTCAAACGTTACCCAAATCTCGAAGAGCTGGCAATTCGTCACTTTGTAGGCTCTAATTTTCCTTCTTGGATGACAGATGGTCTGCTCCAAAATTTGGTTACACTTTCCTTAAATCATTGCACTAAGTGCAAAATAATCTCTCTTGTCCAGTTACCCTGCCTTAGAGAGCTCTATATCAAAGGGATGCAGGAGCTTGAGGATTGGCAAGAAGATCAATACACTTCACTGTGTACGCTACATATTATAAACTGCCCCAAGCTGAGGAAGGTACCTAACTTGATGTCCAATTTAAGAGTTCTCAAGCTAAAGAAGTGTGGCTCATTGAAGGCTCTTCCAATGGCTCCCTCTCTGATGCTTTTAATACTTATTAACAATCTTGTTTTGGAGGATTGGAAAGAAGGAAGTTGCATCGCCCAATATGATCAAGGCAACCAAGTAGGCCAACCCAGGCCTGCTTTGATTGGTCTTTTAGAATTGAAAATGGTAAACTGCCCCAAGATCCGAGAACTGTCTCAACTGTATGCTCCACAAAAACTGGAGATAAGTGGATATGAACTTGTAAGTGCCGTTCCTGAGCCACAGTTCGCCCAGCGTCTTCAGCATTTAGCTCTAGACACATGTTCAAACGTAACACTAGTGAGGGCAATATCTAATACGAATTCTCTCTGCTTCCTGGTCATTTCAAACATCTCAAATCTAACCTCTTTCCCAAAATTGCCCCTTCTTCCAGCGCTTAAGGCTTTGTACTTCAGTGATTGCAAATGTCTCACTTCTTTGTCTGAACAAAAAGGTTCATTGCGAAGCCTGTCCTCTATCCAATTGCTCTCAATTCAAGGCTGTTCAAAGCTTGAATCATTGCCAGATGAAGGGTTACCAACAGCACTTGAGTGTCTGATGATTGGCTCATGCCCAATGCTAAAGTCTCTAGGTGCCAAAGAGACCTTAAAGAGCCTCCTTTTTCTCAAGGACTTGTATATGGAGGATTGTCCCTTGACCCAATACTTTCCTGCAGAGGGGCTTCCTCCCTCTCTCCAACAGGTGAAGATTCATGGGTGTCCCCAAGAGATAGAAGAATGCCAAAAAGAGGATGCAGGAGCTACAGAATGGTCAAAGATCATGCATGTTCCGGACCTGGAAATCGATTCCATCAATCTATCTTCCACGCAGATGTGCCAAACAACAAAGCACGGATTCATTGATTTGTTTTCTGTAAAGGTGAGTACCTTATACTTTCTAATATTTTTTATACCAAAAAATATTTAAATTAATTGTTTTCTTGAGTTTCATGCAAATTAGGGATGATAATGGTTACACGGTTATAGATATTTGCGAATATTGATTGATTATATAGGATTAGGGTATCTTATAATTAGACTTGAGACAAATTGGGTAATGATTTCACTTTGTATCTGGTTCGAGTAGGTTCATACATCACCCTTGATACCCGTTACCGAACTCGATTATTATTTGTAAATATTTTATTATTATTTAATAATTAAATTAAAATATACAATTTTTTCAACTTTAAAAGTATTTTTTTGTTAAAAACTAACAATATAGGAAAAATGATTACTCTAATTATTAATAGATGACATTATTATTTAAATTAAAAAATCATTAAATTGTTAATTATGTTTAAATAATAGAATATCATATCATATTATACAAGAATATAATTAGTATTAATATATACTTTTAATATAAATATTTACTTTTTATTTTATTTAAATTACAAAAATTATAATTTATAAAATTATTAATTATAATTATATACTATTATCTTTATACATAATATATATACTCAAAAGCAAGCTTTTTAGATTAGAATAGTTTTGAACCATAAGTATTTTTTTTAATTTCATAAATTAAGAATAAATTCATATAATTAATTAAATTAATTTATAAAATTATTATTATTAATTAACTTACAATGTCTTTAAATATATAATTTATATATTGTATTAATTTGTAAGAAATATAATTACTAGTATATATATATTAAAATATTTTTAGTATATAATACTTTAAATATAATCATATTTACTTTTGATTTATGTTAACATTACAAAATTATAACTTATAAAATTATTAATTATAATATATATACTTTGTTTATATAAACTTATAATATATAAATTTAAGAGAAGTTGTGAGATTAGAATAGTTGTAAAACTTATTTTCTTTTTTATATATATTAAGGACAAACCCTACATAGTTAATTAAATTAATTATGAAACTATAATTATTAATTACCTGTATATCTTTTAATTATTACTTTATTATATTGATTCATTTATAAGGAATATAATTCTATTATATATATATTAAAATGCTTTTAATGTGTGTGTGTGTATATATATATATACGTATTTAAATATAAATATATTTACTTTCTATTTTGTGTTAACATTACAAAAATTATAACTCATAAAATTATAATATATATACCTTTGTTTGTATAAACTTATAACATATAAATCTAAAGCGAAGTTATGAGATTACAATAATTTTGAAACTTAGTTATTTTTTTTAATTTCATATAATTAAGGATAAACTCATATAGTTAATTAAATTAATTAAGAAAATTATGATTATTAATTGACCTATAATGTCTTTTAGTATATATACTTTATATACAATGAGTTCATTTATAAAAAATATAATTACTATTATATATAATATATTAAAATACTTTTAGTATATATACACTTTAAATATAAACATATTTACTTTACCCCCGAAGAAGCCCCCCGTGGTCACAAGGACACAGCACGAATGTCCGGGATTCTCGACCGCCCTCCGTGCCCCTCCTCCACGCGTCCCACACGCGCATCAACACCCCACCGAGGTGTTTGTCCCGACCCACCCCCTGACGTGAAGTTCCCCGATCCGCCTCGCAGCTCTCAAAAACCCGGGTTTCCGCCCCCCCCTTCCCCCCGCCCCTCGCCCGCTCCCCGCCCCTGCGTCTCTCGCTCCCTCTCGCGCGCTCCCCCCCCCATCGCCCGTTCTCTCTCCTCGTCCACTCGCCCGCTAAATTTTGTGTTAACATTAATTAAAAAAATTATAACAACTTAATAAAATTTATATTACGTTTGAAGATTTTGTTTTTAATAAATTTAAATTTTAAATTTTACTATTTATGTGTTTTTATTAATTTTAATGTAAGTAAATTATTGAAATATGTAAGAGAAAATTATTATATATGACACACACGAGTACAGATCGGTTCAGATAATGGGCTACTTGTGAAATAGTATTCTAATCCATTTTTTTAATAATTAGAATTTTTAAAACCGGATTACGTACATTATAGGTAATACGGAATCGTATTAAAGTTAATTGTTAAAGTAATATTTAAAAATTATTCGAGTAGTTAGTAAGATTCAAGTAATTTATTTTTTATAGGGTTAGGGTTCGAGTACTCTAGCCGTTGACAACCATAATGCAAACCATACTTCATTTCTTTTCTCCTTTGCTGCATAATCACATAGAAGTTTGAATTTCATTTGATCAATATCTGAAACTGTTGATAAAATTGGGCCATTAATCCTAGCAAAGATTCCTTAAAAGTATATATAGTAACTTAGATGAAAAGATTCCTTCCAATGCTGTTTTAGAAGACAAAGCAAGCTATTTAATTCCTAGGAGATGGCAATAAAAGTCGGCCATTCCAAGCAAGTACACTGGAAAATTGAACAGAAATTCTCTAGGAAACAAAGCCACATGTGTAGTTGCATTCATCCAAAACTAAGTATGGTTTCTCTTGGGTGGAAAAAACGCACAGAAAAAGGAGAGGTAATTCAGGTAAGCTTTACCATACTTTATAAGATTAAACGTGAACTGCATGTACTTGTAACCATTCTAATTTTACTTAAACACACATATATCAATCCAAGGTATGTGAATAATTATCCAATCAAGCTGCTTCTACATATGATGCCTATATGCATTGGTCTTGTTTTTGTTGGAAATGAGAATTATCATATATAGATGCTTCTTGGTATGTTGAGCTGACATTAATGTTAGGTTGAGCTATGTTCAAGGGCTCATATCATAAAGATATTTTTGACAAAGTTTAGGATAAATCTGATGTTACCTCTTCCCATATTTTTATTACTGTCTTTTGTTCCTGTTATTTTATTTAGTGGTTGTAAGCAGAACAAATAGCTACATTCAGTGATTCCTTTCATAGACACATTTTAGTCAGATTTTAGAATTGGTACATCTATGTCCTCTTTAAACTTTTTATTTATGTTGGTCAGTATATGTCCTTTATTCTAGTTATATTATTTTGCTATCAATCAGTTTTTAGCAAAGCAATGCCAAATACTTAATGTTTAATTTCTTCAAATATTTTGAAAGTTCTTTGGCAATAACATGGTTGTTGGTGTTTTGGCAATTCAAATTCCTTGTGGGTGGAATTTATACCTACTTTAATTTTTCTCCCGATTTTTGCACAGGCAGAATTAAGTGCTTAATTATTGAAAGATGTAAAATGACCCATAGTTCCAACAATCATAGAGTGTTGGTGTCTATTGGTTGCAGAACAACATGTGGCCGTGTACACAAGGGAAACAAAATGCCTGGCAGGACGGCTGGAAGCAAAAGAAAGATCTGGAAGCTCAAGATTGTGAAAACTGACAATTCAAGTTGTGATGATCAAAGGTGCTGCCCCTGGTAAGCCAGGAAATCTGCTATGTATAACTCCATGTAAGATTGTTGGAAGAACATACCAACGAACTAGCTTCATGTATCCTGATTTGTTTGATTTTCGTTCTGCATCATTGCAACAATGCTGTACGGAGCTAGCATAATTCAATGGCGCTTCTGGTTTTGAAAGGATGAACAGGACTGCTGATATTGTATTTAATGCAATGTGCACAGGTGGGCATGTGGTGGGCAACTATGTTGGAAGTGTTGTAAGATACACTTGATTGATTGATTGTTGTTTTGATACTCAGGTGGATTGTTGGACTAGGGTTATTTGTTGTCGAGAACATCTTATATCCTCCCACTCTGTAGTTTTCAGCAAGGCATTGTAACTTGAATTGAACCAATTTGATTTTGTTATATGAACTTTATAAATGAATGGCACCTCAGATCTTTATACAGAGACAGTACCCACAATGTAATTCAGTTGAACGAAATCATCCTACTAAACAAAAACATGACAAGTACAACAAGCATGAATGCAAAAATGTGAAGAAGTAGTTAACTAGTTTGCTATTCCATACTGAACACAAGAGGTATTTTCTTTCCTTTCAAGCATATAGTTCAGTTTTTAGGCCTTAAAATGGCACACTTGATAACAAGACCATTTTTCCAGTGGCCCCCATGTTCATAAAGATCAAAGCAAACTTCTCCTGTTTCACTTGTTTCTCCATTCTCATCTGTACTGAAGTTGCCGACGTTGAGCTCTATCCATTGCCCTCTAGGCTTCTGCAGAAGGCTGACTTGCCTTTCTTGGACTCTATCATTAGGAAGGGATAATCTCAGCTTGATAGGGAGTTCCCAACCAGATGCCCCTTTTGTCAACTTGACTTGGTACACAACCTCGTATGAAGTTCCAGGGGAAAGGTCCGATAGTTTGAATTTTCCTCTCACATCCAGCCAACATACATGGCTTAGTTTGGCTACTTCGATGTTTTCATCACTGCAAATCAAGAGATTCGTTACGATTTACAACCATGAAGATACAGCAATCGACAAAACAACGATTTCAATGGAAAAAAATTCCCCTGAATCTCACCTTGTATCTTTGAAACTGTTCCAAATCCAATTTTCACGGCCACCCCAAGTGATGTAGAGTGACCTTGGATACAACGTGAAGCATTTGTGACCTGATGCATCTTCCCAAGCTTTCTGCATGATGAGTTTGTTGGAAAAGATAATAATCAAAATCTTTAATTTTCTCAGTAACTTGCCATATGTTTTAATCATCCACTTACTTATCCTTGATTTAAATGCATGGAAGTACAAGAACCAGGGAAAGAGAGGGAGAGAGAAAACGAACCTTTCTCTTGTGCTCAAGGAAGACTTCTTTGTTGTCTGCTGCTACAACCTTCTTCTTTCTGAAGTTCATTGGTTATGTTCCCCTTGAGACCCTAGAAAGGTATCCTGGGAAAACCAAATATAGCGTCGGAGCCTTGCTGCACCCTGTCAGCAAACGCGCTGTGATTATTAAATCTGGTCCTTCAGCCTGCCGTACTCTCACGCCGAAACTCGGACCCAAGACTTCATACCGTTTCCGAGAAAGAGATTAAGACGAGTAGGTAGACCCCGTCTGCAAACGCGTTGTGATAATTCAATCTGGTCCTCCAGCCTACCATACTGACACGCCTAAACTGGGACCCAAGACTTCATACTTTTCCATGGAAATAGATTAATACGGGTAGTTAGAGGTTACAATTAATATAAAGATTTATTTAACTTAAAATAAAAATATAAAAATTTATTTAAAATAAAAAATATATAAATTTTTTTTAATTAAAGGTTATAAAAGTCAAATCATTTTAAATATATCAATTTTTTAATATATAAAAACGGAGGTGGATTAAATATGGTATAATTCAGAATTACTTTTCGTTAATCATAAAAATATAATAATAAATTTGAAAAGTACATTCGAGTATTTGATTGATTAACTGCTCAAGAAGAAAAATAACAACGTGAAGAAAGCAATAAGAGGAAAGAAAGAGTCATGGTCCCTAGTGGTTTGACCAGAGGAGGACAAGTGTGAAAGAGACAGGACGAAGCTTTGGTGGACCTTGCTTTGTCTATTTGCTGAATAATCGCATCTGGTTTACTCACCCTTGTCGTCAGCACCATGTAAGGGACTTGACTTTAGCGAAGAAGTGGAGCCGAAGTTGCTTCGAACCTGCCCCCGTACCAGATTTGAAGGGGTCCTTGTAGTGGCCAAAGTCTGAACGTGTCCATATAACCATAGAACCACGAACCAAATAAAACAAAGCAAATATTTGTTCTGTTCCAACTGACTTCTTATTCAGTCTTTGACATATTTTCTTGCTGGTTTCTTGTCCACTCTTTCACAGAAATCAGACAACACAAGCCATCTAGTTCCGAGTTCCAACTGAACTGACTTCTTTCACAGTTTTGACATAGTTTCTTGCTGGTGAGTTCTCCTGTAATTAACAAAATGAATGGGGAAAAAAAACCCATACATACATATTGATGCTTTTTTTTCCTTGTAGGAGTTCTGCTTCAAGTGCTTATGGCTGATCCAGTTTCTATTATTGTGGGACCCATCGTGAACCATATCGTTGACACTGCTGCGTCCTTGATCGAAGGAGAAATTCTGGCGATCCTGAATGTTGAGGAGGAGGTGAAAAATCTGTCAAGCAATCTAACCGCAATTGCAGCTGTGCTTAAAGATGCTGAGCAGAGACAACTGGATGCAGCTTGTGGTGAATCTTTGAGAGATTGGCTTGGAAAGCTCAGAGATGTAGCTTGTGATGCAGAGGACATATTGGACACTCTTGCAACAGAAACTTTCCTCTGGAAGAGAAAGCAGCAGGTTCGCAAAATCCGAGCTCCTATCAACCTTATAAATAAATCCAGTGCTGCACATAAGATCAAAGAAATTTCAGCAAGACTTGATGTGATTGCTAAAGAGAAAAACGATTTCCATCTCAAAGAAAGTAGTGATGGTGGAAAGCCCCCAAACCTTCCACACACCACTTTCTTTGTAGACAGTACAGATGTCGTTGGTAGAGAATCTGATAGGGATAAATTAATAAATCGGATGCTATCAAATGAATCTGATACTACAGGTGATGTTTCTGTCATTCCTATCATTGGGATGGGAGGCTTAGGTAAAACAACTCTTGCTCAACTCATCTTTACAGATGAAAGAGTAAAGAATCATTTTGAGTTTAGGATGTGGGTTCATGTCACAATTGACTTCAATTTCGGAAGAATACTTAAGGAAATGATAGAATTCCACACTGAAATGAAGTATTCTAGTGACGTACCCACCAGGACCCTAGAGTCACGGTTTCTAGAATTCTTAGGTGGGAAACGTTTTCTGCTTGTTTTAGATGATGTTTGGACTGACGATTACCAAGAGTGGGAGCCACTTCAAAAGCTCTTGAAACAAGGAGGTAAGGGCAGTACAGTTTTGGTCACTACTCGAACCACCAGGGTGTCAGACATTATGGGAACACAACCTCCTTATAGTTTGGAATGTTTGCCCGATGATGAATGTTGGTCATTGTTTAAAAAAATTGCTTTCAAAGACTGTAACTCATTGGTTGATACACACAGAAAAGAATTGGAAGTCTTTGGTAGGCAAATTGTGGAAAAGTGTAACGGCTTGCCTTTGGCAGTGAAGGCAATGGGAGGTGTCCTGCGTGGTAATATTGATGTAAACAAATGGAAGCAAATCTTAAGAGATAGCATATGGGAGCTAGAGAAGGATCAGAACCCCACTAGGCCTAAAATTCTGCCTGCCTTAAAATTGAGTTATGACCACCTACCTTCTTATTTAAAACAGTGTTACGCATATTGCTCTATGTTCCCAAAGGCCTATGTTTTTGACAGGCAGGAGTTGGTCAAGCATTGGATGGCTGAAGCATTTATTCAATCCAGTGGCCAAAATAGTGTCGACGAGACTGGGATCGAATATTTTAATGAGTTGCTAATGAGGTCTTTCTTCCAAATTTTAAACATTGATGGCAAGGAGAGATACAGAATGCATGACCTTATCCATGACTTGGCTGTATCAGTATCAAGCCCCCACTGCTGCCAAGTCAAGGATAACAATTCACGTATTCTCTCTGAAAAAACTCGTCATGTCTCATTGCTTGGTCAAGATGTAGAGGAGCCCGCTTTGCAGATTATCAAAACGTCTTCGAAGCTGCGCACACTCCTACTTCCTGGTGAGTCCTTGAAAAACTTGGGGCAGGCGCTTGACAAAATGTTTCATTCTCTTAAATACATTCGTGTTTTGAATCTAAGTTCAAGCTCGCTCTCAGAATTGCCAAGCTCTATAGAAAATATGAAGCTATTACGATACCTTGATCTCTCTAGGACAGAGATCAAAGTGCTTCCCAACTCAATATGTAACCTCTGCAATCTGCAGACACTTAAGCTCCTAGGGTGCCTTTGGCTGTTTGAATTGCCCAAGGACCTTGGAAACTTGGTTAACCTGCGTCATCTTGAGCTAGATGAGATGTTTTGGTTCAAGTGTGAGATGCTGCCACCAAGAATGGGAAACTTAACCAGTTTGCAAAATTTGCATGCATTCCCAGTCAGTGGCACAAGTGGACATGGCATTGAAGAGCTGAAGAACATGGCCAATCTTACAAAAACACTGCATATTTTGAAGCTGGAAAATGCAGTGAATGCAGCTGAGGCAAAGCTAAAAGAGAAGGAGAGCCTTCAGAAGCTGGTATTAGAGTGGAGTGGCCAAGACGTCAACCAACAAGATGAAGTCAGAGCAGAGAGGGACCTTAAAGACCTGCAACCTCACTCAAATCTCAAAGAGTTGGCACTTCATCACTTTAAGGGCTCTAATTTTCCTTCGTGGATGACAGACGGTGTGCTTCAAAATTTAGTAAGACTTACCTTAAGTCATTGCACTAAATGCACAACACTCTCTGTTGGCCAGTTACCTTGCCTTAGAGCGCTCTACATCAAAGGGATGCAGGAATTGGAAGAATGGCCAGAAGTTCAGTGTCTTTCATTGGGTAGACTAGAGATCAAAAACTGCCCCAAGCTGAGGAAGGTACCGGATTTGATGCCAAATTTAACAGTTCTGAAGATAAAGAAGTGTGATTCATTGAAGGCTCTTCCGATGGCTCCTCTGATGTTTTTAATACTTATTGACAATCTTGTTCTGGAGGATTGGAAAGAAGGAATGTTCACTGCCCAAGATGGTCAAGGCAACCAAGTAGGCCAACTCAAGCCTACTTTGATTAATCTTTTGGAATTGAAAATGGCAAACTGCCCCAGCATACAAGCGCTGCCTAAAATATTTGCTCCTCAGAAACTGGAGATAAGTGGGTGTGGTCTCATAACTGCCCTTCCTGTCCCACAGTTCGCCCAACGTCTGCAGCATTTAGCTCTGGACTCGTGCTCTAATGGAACACTAGTGAGGGCAATACCGGGAACCAACACTCTCTACTCGTTGGTCATTTCAAACATCTCAAACCTAACCTCTTTCCCAAAATTGCCCCACCTTCCGGGACTTAAGACTTTGTATATCAGTGATTGCGAAGACCTCACTTCTTTGTCTGAAGAAGAAGAGTCATTGAAAAGCTTGTCCTCTCTCAAGTTGCTCTCTATCCGGGGCTGTTCAAAGCTAGAATCGTTGCCAGATGAAGGTTTACCAACAGGACTTGAGTGTCTGATGATTGCCTCATGCCCCATTCTAAAATCTCTAGGTACCAAAGGCACCTTAAAAAGCCTCATCTCACTCAAGGACTTATATTTAGACAATTGTCCCTTGATTCGGTCCTTTCCCGAGGATGGGCTGCCTACTTCTCTCCTCCATTTGGTGATTCATGAATGTCCCCTGCTGATAGAAAAATGCCAAAAGGAAGATGCAGGAAGCACACAATGGCCAAAGATCATGCACGTTACAGACCAGGAAATTGATTCCATCAGGCTACCTTCAGCCCCAGATTTGCCAAAGAAGAATAAATGGACTGCTTTATTTGGTTGCAGTTAAGGTGAGTTACTTTTTCCTCGTTCATATTTTGATCTATTATTTGAGGCAAACAAAATAACAGTTGCAACACCATATACAAAACTACCTCTTCCTTGTAAATGCTTAAAACAAAAGAAGCTCTGAAATGACAATAACAGTTTACTCCATTGGTCAAAAACTTGTTAGGGTTTTAAGGCAATTAACATTGCCTCCAAGATGAAGCTTCAACTTATTTTCAGGGTTATATGTTATCTGGGAAAAAAAGAGGAAAAACATTAATTGCTTTAAGCTTAGAGAGGAACCAACGAATGAATATCTGTGGTTTTTGCAGGACCCTAAAGTTGAATGGTTCATTCAAGGAATGCTTTTCCATGATGGTGAATGATTAAAGCTGCAGCAAGGGATGAGAAGAACAGCTTGATAGCTTAAAATTATGATTGTTATTAATATGTGTGTTTGTAACAATAAAAGCCAGTGAAACTGGGAGACAATGGTTTGAACCATTGCATATTTGTTTCAAACTCTGTTGTTTCATATTCCATTGTGTTTTCTCTGTATTGATTGTAACTGAGAGCAATAACTTTATTTGCTGATTTCTTATTCAGGTGTAATACATGATGAATTGATAATTAGGATGTTGCGTTTCTGAAATTTTTCCTCATTTTTTAACCCCAATCAGCATCTGCAATTCCCTGGATCCTATTCTTTGTCCTGCTAGTTATAATATTTCCTACATATGAGCTACGTTCAATATGCCCATAACAAATTTTCTTGTCGTTTCAATTAAAAGCATTCCTGTATATGCAACGATATGTCAAAAAAAATTTACATTTTGAACTGTTTTTCACTCTATTCTTCTCTTTTCTTAAACTCTTTTTGCTCTTTCAATGCAAAAGGATAGTAAATCACTTGAATTTCCAGTTGAGCAAATGCTCCAACAAGGCATTGCTAAAAGGAACAATTAAGTTCATGAAATATAGGCTGACTAATTCCTTAACTGCTTCTCCAGTATGCTCACAATTAGAGCGAAAACTGCATTTAAGATTCCTTACATCTTTGGATGATCAATGGTTTAGAACTCAACATTGTTTCACTCCCAGCCTGTTACCAATAATCTTTGCATGAACACTTTCCATCTTTGAAATGGTGAAATCTGCTATTATCCCTGACAATTATCTCTCTTTGGGAAATCTTTGACATGAACTTTATAGCTGTGTGGCAGTCCACACAAACGCGAATATTTTTGGTTATTCGAATGGTTGTCCCAGTAGGGGTGCTAATGATGCCAAAAGCTAAAGCTAATCTTTCACTATGGCTAAATAGCAAGTATTTCTTCTGCTCCTCCTCAACATCATGGGAAACCTCACTCGTGTCAGGAATATACCCTTCTCGTTCCATCTGTTCCAAAAGATCTTTCAGAGCCTTATATATTCTCTCATAAAGAGGATGGGATTTATCTCCTGATATGAAAGTATGAACCCTGTTTTTAACTTCTATCCAAGTGCAAGCTGGTTCCTTTCTTATACCTTTTTTCTTCAATGAGATTCTCATCTTTGCTGCATCTTTCCATCTCTGTGCAGCTGCGTATATATTTGACATCAGAACGTAAGCTCCCACGTTTTCTGGATCAACTTCAAATAATTTTTTGGCAACCTTTTCAGCCAACTCAAGGTTCTTGTGGACTCTACAAGCAGATAACAGTGTTGACCAAATGCTACCTGTTGGTGCAATATGCATGCTAGAGATGAACTCATAGGCTTCTTCCAACTTTCCTGCACGACCAAGAAGGTCTGCCATAGCAGCATAGTGCTCCAAGCCCGGTGTAATGCCATGATTCTGGGTCATACAATTGAAATGCCCCCAAGCCTCATCTGTCAATCCAGCATGACTACAAGCGGTAAAGACAGCTATAAAAGACACATAATTGGGTTTAACCCCATCCATTTCCATCTGCTTGAATAAAAAAAGGGCATCATGAGCATGCCCATGCAAAGCATGTCCCATGATGATAGCCGTCCATGAAACCATGTCATGGTATTCCATTTGATCAAAAATCCACCTTGCTGCCTTGATGTTTCCACATTTGGCATACATGTCAACAAGTGAGCTGGCTACAAACACATTATCATCAAATCCACCTCGAATTATGTATCCATGAAGTTGCTTCCCTAGATGCAGTGTCGTCAAATAAGCACAAGCTGGCATAATACTTGAAAATGAAACATCCCTCGGCTTTACTTTGGCTATTAACATTTGGTGAAATAAATTCAGACCTTTATCAAACATGCCATTCTGTACACACCCAGCAATAATCGAATTCCAAGAAATATCATCTCTTTGAGGTAACAGATTAAATACACGGCATGAATCTTCAATCCGAGAACAATTGGCATACATATCAATCAAACTACTTCCTATATACCAATCAGAATCAAACCTATGTCTGATAGCATATCCATGAATCTCCTTTCCTTTCATTACATCCACATATTCTGCAAATATAGGAAGTACGCTAGACAAAGTGAATGAATCAGGTTTCATGTTAGCATTCCCCATCTCCCTAACCATCGTCAAAGCTTCTTCATACATTCCATTTTGTGCATTCCCTGCAATTACCGTATTCCAAGAAACAACATCCCTCTTTGGCATCATGTCAAAAACCTTTCTCACACTATCCAATTGAAAAACATTTTTGCCCTTCTTTTGAGCTAATCTGCCGCAGAGTTCATTACCTTTTGGCATTCCATCAAGCATATTGAAGGTGAAAACTTTATGTCCTCCGTTCACTTCCAAGTTTTGAAATTTTGCATACATATTCAAAAGGGCATTCCCTGTAAACAAATCAAAGTCCAAACCCAGCCTAATAATACAACCATGAATAGACTCACCCAACCTCAAGTTCTTTATAAAAGCACAAGCTTTAAGAACAAAAGGGAGCATTTTATGATCTGGGTATATACCTAGACCACGCATTTGAACAAAATAAGTTACGGAATTTAGAAAAAGGCCAGAATTTGCAAAGCATTTGGTGACGGATTTCCAAGCAAGAAGTGGAGGCGAGCTGAGGGAGTTGAAGAGAAAGAGGGAGTCGTGTAGAAGGTTGAAATTTGTGTATATGGAAATGAGAATAGAAGTTGAAGAAGGAGAGTGAGGTTGGGTTTTGAGAAATTGGGCATGGAGTTCTTTGGCTTGGGATTTGGTTTTTAAAGATTGTGGGGTTTTGAGGAGGGTTTGGACCAGGGTTTTGGGGGTGGAACTTGAAGTCATTGGGTTATTTAAAGGGTTTTTGGTAAAATGTAGAACGGTGATGTTGGTTACAGAAGAGGTGTGGCCGTGCGGGTTTTGTGTATCTGCGTCGGCTGAAACAGGTCCGTCTGGGGATTTGTCATTTTAGATTCGGTCGGTTCAAGTTCAGTTCACTTTCTTTTAAGTCATTTTGATTTCGTCTATCTTGAATGTGTTAAAACTTTATTTTCCTTCACAACCTTCAACCCTACCTGCCAGCAGCCTTCCAGGACGAATGGTAGTTACTAGCAGAGGGGGCCATGGCTCCCTTATTCTTATTGTAGTATGAATAATCATACTGCTTTATATGTCTTTCATGCAGAGTTTTATATTGGCTCCCCACCTAAGCCACTGCAGCCTACTCCTTGTTCTTCTTAGCTAGTTGTAGTATATATTTTTTCCTGGCAGAAGCTACCTTTTTCTTTTTGTCTTCACAACCATCTTTACTTAGATTCTCATTAATTTCTTTCATTTTTATTTCTTCACCTGTTTGACTATGTTATTCAAATACCCAAGCCATGATCTCCGCAGACATTCCTGGTTTGCTGATTCAAATGCTTTCTCTCAACATATTTTGACATCCAACAGGATAAAAGCTAAGTCGCATAGCATTAGTACTCTATATGTTGTTTAACTTGGTTTTGAATCCTCAGCTAGTCAACTTCCTAATTGTTTAGATCAAGGACAAATCTAGCATTTCTCCATGCAAATTGAGTTCATTTGAAAGCAAGGGAAAGAAAATTAAAAAAGGAAAAATAATTCTGTCGTTATACATGTTGTTAGTTACATCTTTTGTGCTCTTGCAATTTGACTGAAAGCACAGAAACCTGGTCTTGTTCTCTTTTACATGAACACACAAATACAAAAGCAAGCAACACATTGGTCCCAGAACACTAGTCTCAGGTGGGAGGAGGAAGGCTCAAACTGACCAAAATTTATACAAAACTAAGAAGAGCACAACTAAGAGTAAGGTTCCCAATCCAAACCCATCATCAAAGGCAGAGCTGCTTGTCTGCTGAACTGAAGGAGAGGAAAACATGCTTAGAGTGGGGAAGAACGTTGAAAGCAGCTGCACAAGGACCAACAGCAGAAGTAGAACAAGCACCATCACAACATAAAAAGAGTCACTGTCCGAGTCTCCTGCCTGAAATAAAGGCAGAACAAACTCTAGAATAGATTGCAAAGTAGGACCGAAGATCACCAATCCTAAGACTCCCACCATTAAAGCTGGTACCAGTGGAGATGGCGCGCTTCTTCTCATTGCTCTCTCAAATCTTTCCAACTCTTTTTTGTTGGTTTTCAGATAGAAAGAACAAACCTCTTGGCTGTTAAAAGAGAGTTGTGTCCTGTGAGAGTAGATGAGTTTGTTGAAGACCGATACAGAATGCAAGCAACTTGATGATCCTTTTCTTTGGTCATATGTGTTAGTTGACCCATTGGACATGTCTTTCTGAGTTCATCCAATCATCTATTTCGATCCATTTGTTTGTACATACGATGGAGGTTAGCTGCAACGCCAACCACACCCGGATTTAATCAAAGGCGAGTGAATATATTAATGATTTCCTGCAAGGACTATGACTAAGGAAACATTTCTTTAGTTTGGGGTTAATTGCTAGTATATTAATGAAAAGGACATTCACAGTCATCGTTGCCTTCAAGGTGAGAATTTTAAAGAATAACATCGCTGACAGAATGACGAGAGACAAGTAACCTCAATCAAGTTCATATCGGGAATGCGAAAACACATCAAAGAGACTGCATGAATAAACTTGAATAGAACAAGGTAGTAGCCTCCTTCACAAGGGCTAATACTTAATACTGTGAGGAACTGTGATTATAGAGGACATGAGCAGAAAGGAAGGAAAGGAGAATGATTATATCAACTAAAATTTTAGCTTACATATCCCATCAAAAAAACTAATAATTCAAGTTACATTGTTCAAATAAGTTCAAGTTTTCAACTCTTGTCAACAAGATTTACCATAAAACCATCAATGTCAGCAACAGTTAATCAAAAAAGGACCAACAAAAAGTAATAATCCCCTTACAATGGGCATAGACTGATTATCATCTATCTGTGCTAATCCTAGTATCTAGTGTCACTCTCAAATAAGTTTAAAATAAGACTAAAGACTATTACCTTGCGCAATGGAGAATCAAAGTCCTAAGTGCAGATCATCCTCCCAAGACCTTGCTCACTTGTACCCAAAAATATTTTAAGATAAGTGATTCTAGTATTCTACATGTTCCATGCAAAAATAAAGAGAGGGAGGGGGGGCTTCATTTTTTCTCCCCTTTGATCAATAAATCACATGCAATTTCAAGTTTCATTTGACCAAACCCTAAATCAGGTAATAAACAAATATATTCACTAAAAATATATAAATACAGCTTTGTGGGTCAAAAAATGTAGCTTAGACTGAAAGGATTCCATACAATGCAATTTTAGAAAACAATGCAATATTCCTAGAGGATACCAGGGATAAGACCCTGCCATTGCAAGCAAATATGCTTAAAGAAAGTCACAGGTGCAGGTGCAGGGGTGCATGCGCTCAGAACCAAGTATGCAAAATAGATTTCTTCACCACGACACCATGCCAAGCTCCTTGTGTGGTCTACGTGGAGAGAGACAGAAAAGGAGGCAACTCAAGTAAGCTTCATTCAGGCCAAAAAAGGTAATCGTCATCACACATTATAAGACAAAAGTTTCATGTTACTTCTAGCCACATTAAATATCCCATTTTTCTTTTTTGCTATGGATGTTAAATATCCAATGGACACACACTAATGGTAGGCTGATGCATATCTAATCATACATAGAGAGAGAGAAAGAGGAGCTACCGCTACATCACTCAGCCTGGCACTACGAAACTGAGACAGCACTCGCTATCCTGCTTTATCTCCTGCAACTAGATTTACAACACTGTATACAAACAAAACAAATATGGCTAGCTCCAGCTACTCCAACACTCTAACTAAGCCTCAGTGATCAAGATGTAGGGCTATACTTGAGATGTTGCTCGTAGAAGTTGATCAACTGGCACATAAGAAAGGAGACAAAAGCAGAACAAGAATTGTTAGCTCTTGGAGCCAATGCTAATTAACTAACAAAAGGTCAGGCAATAATATGATCAATTACCAGAAGTGGATTGTTAGCTTTAAGATATCTGTTGTCCACCATAACCTCTTTCCCATCAGACCTGTCAAAATATACACCAAACATAATTATCATCAACAATAGAAACTTCAATAAAGTGCAGCATATATTTTGAGGACTTTCAGACAACACAATCGCATCTAAAATTAGCAAGCTTCTCTTCCAATTAGAATTAAAATGCAAAACCCACAAACTTCACTAATCTAACAGTTCATATCACAAAAACTGTTCCTCTTCAGGGCCACCAGTGATACCAACATCAATTTATCATCCAATAAACAATTCTCAGGAGTGGGAAAAGCCTCATCTTGAATTCACTAATGTTCAAAATTCGCCCAAAGCCCCAAAGATTTTTCTCAATTGGGTCACACATACACTCAATACGTCTACTTTAAAGGTAAAAATTAAGATTAACATCTGACTACCCTAGGACAGAGGTAATAGCTTGATGAACTTGTAATTTGATTCCTATAAGACAAGTCTGCAACATGCTGCATAAGACATTAAAGAAAGAAGGATCATAACTATGAAGTTCGCAAGACATTTCCACTATCAATCTTAAATAATTAATAAAAAAAAGCCCCAAAAGTGCAATTTGATATCTATCATGCTCTACGGATGCAATCCATAAAAGCAAACTACATTTTCATACCATTGTTGTCCAAGGAGGCCACCTGCTAACCTCCTCAGACTTTAATTTCAACTCAACATAAAGTTACTATTCCCCTGGACAAGATCTTTCAAATGTCAACCATGAAGAATTTACACTTTCCACTTACAATTACACAGCAATACAGAAGCAGCCTATGGTTCTTAATGAAGTGTAGTAGATTCCAAGACAAGCCACAATTCATGTAAAACATTTTTTATCTTCACATTCTTTTAGACAACAAAAACATGTTGATGTTTTTAAGGAGATTATAGTCAAACACATGCACAGACGGTGTATCCATAACAGGAAAGAGTAAAATTACTCCAGCGACAACTAAATCTCTAAAGAGCAACATGTTAGCACATTAAGTGTTAATACATCAGAATACAACAATTTACACAAGCAAGAACCACACTTCCATCCCATAACACCCCCAGCCAGAGCAAGGCTAAAATATTTTTCACAGCCAGCCAAACCAAAACTTCAGAACTTCCGTAAAGCAATTAAATTGAACATGATTTGAATGTGCATAAATGTTAAGAGGTACTAAGCAATATGTAGACATAATTTCAAGCCACTATAAATCAGCCAATTATGGTACAAAGCCATCAATTATATAAGGAGTGTTTAACAAGTTATTTGCACGGCATTACATCCAGATAGAAAAGAAAAACAACCGTTACAACATAACAAAACACATCATTAGCTCAAATATTTAGTTATGGAACCTAATATCATGGCATACATTGGAAACATGACTGAGATTTATTAGATGCAAAAGTTTTCTCTTCTGGTTTTTCTGCTAAAAAATTGCCCCAGTTACCTCAATAGTAGATTCTATTTTAGCTTTTGTTCGGAAGACAGAAGCTTCAAGAGTTAATCATATAAACATTGTGGTTGCATTAGAGTTTGACAACAAACCTGATTGCCAAAAAAGTTACTGCCACATCTTGAATGTTATCTGCTACAGAAGCTGAAAACCCTACAGGCTTGAGGATCTTGGTTATGACAGGCACATTTACGGAATTATCAATCTGGGGCCTATGACTCAAACCATCTGCTGTTAAACCAAGACCTTCAATTCCTATCAGTGCATCTGCAATTCCATAGCCAACATGGATATTTGGTGTTGCATTTTGAGTCAAATTAGATCCAGAGGAAGCTAGATCTTGTTTAAACCTCTTCACTGAACCAGACTTCCTTCTTTTAGCCCCTGTGCGACGATCACAGTGAACTGATTCCCCACGATCAACCTTTTGCAGCCCATTGCCAAGGCCATCACTTTCAGAAGCCTTGCCTTCTTGGAAACGCATAGCAAGCTTATCGGCATTGACCCCATTGGAAGATATTGCTCCTTTTAGCTCACTAAGCTTGGTATCATAATCATTTTCATCCTTCCATTCAACAATTTGTTTCGAAATATTAGCAGACCCATTCTCCTTAACTCTGTTGGCTACTTTGACATTGTTGGCACTTCCATTGGTCTCTCCCTCTCGTGCTGACACTGTAACTGGACTTGAGGCAGTAAGATCAGCAATACCTGAATTGTCAAGAGGAACCAATGATAGGGACTTATCAACAACACTGACTTCAAGACCAGTTGCATTATATGTAGTAGCAGAGGAGCGTGGCTGCTTCTTCTTGGACTGTGTATGAGGACCACCATACTTGCGTTTGCGCTTTCGATTCTGCTTCCCGGAACGCAAGCTTCAAAACCAGAAAGGAAAATACATAGTACATACTACAATGGAAAAGAAAAACAGGTTCTATACACCTTATTTACTAAGAAAGTTGAGGATAAGTGAAGGCAATGAAGGCCAAGATGTTACTTTACCATTTATACCTTTCTTATACTAAAAGTGGAAGACGAAATTTAATTCAATTAAATAGTAAACTGATTCGACTATTTACAACTCAAATGGATCAATAGAACTAATTAATAACACGACAACAAAGCCTGCTTTGTTATTCAACGATTCAGCTAGTCTAAGTGATTTGAAACAACCACAAAGAATAAATACCTTGTTAACAAAAAAAGTATGCTTTCTTTGCTTTAGCTTACCTAGCAACCATACAAAACCAAGGAAGATATGAGCAATATAAAAAGGAAATCAAGGAATCTTACCTTTCCTCAAATGCATCTATAACATCAGAACAAGACTGGAGATTCTCCAATGGCTCCCATGTATTTGCAGTTTCTGGCCATCCACGCCTTCAAAACAAAATAAAAATCACCCAAAATAAATAATTAGGACTACCATTTTCTTTAAACAAGCTGATCCTCATATGTTTAAAGCAAAATTTAAAAAACAAAAAAAAAAAGCATCAAAGAGATATACAGACAAAGGATACTCACCATTTGATGAGATACTGAAGCTGACCCTATCATATGCCAACATAATACACAAAAAATTCATAATTAGATAAAATAGAGAGAAAAAAAACACCCACCGCCCGCCAAAAAAAAAAAACACGAAAGGCATATTATTATGGCCTCATTCCCTAAAGTTTCTCCATATCCATCAAAACCCCCACTACGAGGAAAAGAACAGCAAATAACTGAAACTAAAAACAACCCCTGAAAATTCAAAAACCCCATTTGGCAGGCTAAACTTTTGATTGCAACGAACCCATTTTCCCCTTTGTCCCATCTGTTTGGTTCAAGAAAAAATTAACCAAAAACAAAGCCCAAAAAAACAAAAGAAAAAGTCCAACCTTTCGAACCCTTTTACGGCGAATAGCTTCAATCTCAAAGAACCCATCATCGAGCTTAGTCCTTTCTTCTTCTTTGCCTTCATTATTTTCTTCTTCTTCTCCTTCTTCTTCTTCTTCTTCATCTTCCTCTTCCTCTTCCTCTTCTTCTTCTCCTTCTTCTTCCTTCTTTTTCTCTCCAAGTCCTTCACTTTCAACTATTTGCTCACTAGTTCCTCCTCTTTTCTTCTCTTTCTCACCCCCTCCTCCCTCCTCACTCTGTACTACCCTTTTCCTTCCTCCTCCTTTCATTTCTTAGACAAAATCCCACTGGAAAAAAAAACACAAATCAAACAAAAAGTAAAAGCCTTCGATTTTATTTTTCTCCCTCTCCTTTGCAATGAACTGTAAGCTGGGAACTGAGAAGTCGGAAATAGAGGGATGTTCTTCCCCACTCTTTTTTTTTTTTTTTAATTTAGGGGCGAATATTGAGTTGGACCCGAATGGGCTCCGACCCGGATTCCATATGGAATCCTCTTCGAAGCCTTTTAAACTACTTTTTCCATTTTGGCCATCTTGTCTTTGCCGCCCTTGTTTCCGCCAAAACTTATTCTTCTCTTATCCTAAAGTAATTTCTCTCAATTTTTCCTATTCCCAATATCCCATTCTCAGTCCAAGCAACATCATTAACTTAGGTTTTCACACATTTAAAAGTATTTTTATATTTTTTTTCTTAAATATACGACAATATCACTTGTTAATGTTTGTTTTATTATTTAATAAAATTTAAATGACATAATATTGTAAAAAACTTTTAAATTAATTAAAAGAATTCAAATAAATCTTTATTTTCTATTACTTTCAATCAAATCTTTTATGTTTATTTTTAATTAAATAAATTAATTATTATTAATCAAAATATCTCTTGTTGTTTTAATATCACATGATGTTAACGTAATATATCAATATTCATAATGAATGATGACTTAATATGTTAATTTAACATTATCACATAAAATTTTTACCCTTTGATATGAAAATAATATTATATTTTAACTAATGATCATTAATCAACCTTTGATCATTAATCCACCTTTAACATATTAATCAACAGTTAATCTTATAGTGATGGAATTTAGTGTTTTTTTTCAATCTATCTACTTCTTATAAATATAAGTTAGATCAAAAAAAAATTAAAAGCTCTTTAAAAAATAATTTAAGAAAAAATTAAAGAAAAACTCCAGACAATAGTTTTTTCTTTTCTTCTTTCAAAAACACATTACATTTTCAAGAGAATTTTTTTTTTTCAAAAATATCCTCATCTAACCTTAATATTACCTTCTCAAAAATATTTCATCTCTCTCCCTTCTCCAAGCAAATAGCTATCTCTTCTCATCTACCTTTTTTATAAAAACTACTAGAAAAAAAAAAACCTAACAATAGAAGAAAGAAATTTGAGATTTTTTGTTATTATAAAAATTAAGAGAAAAAAACACTTAAAATTCCAAACTACATTCAAGTATTATTTTTTTTTTGTTTTTCTTTTCTTTTCTTTGGAATCTCGCTTTATTTCTTAATTGAATTATTTTTAATTTTAAAATATGCATTTGAGTTCTTATTAAGTAGCTTAAAGGATCAAAGCCATTTTAGATTCCTAGTAAAGATCCTAGACCCATTAAAATTGTTGAAAGATCTTGATTAAAGGGTCTATTATTTTGGGTTTAGATCACCATTTGATTGATGACCTAGTATTAGGTAACTCTACATCCTAGTAATCTTATTAGGTTGCTTTTGTTTCAATATTATCTTGTTTTGTAAATAAATATATTGAGGTTTGATCTGTATCAGATTTTATTAAAGTTGTAAATGAGTAAAAATGTATTCAAATAGTTAACTATCACTTTCTTAAAAGTTATTGTCTTTGGTTGGATATGACTTATGATAATTTGCCTATTTTTGAGTTTTGCTAAAAATGTCTCTAAATGTTATGCAAGATTTGGAGTTATGTTGGATGATTCGTAAGTAGCATATACTTGTGTAAATTTTAAACATCTTTTGCCTTGTGATGCATTTTGGTTTAATTGTATTTGGTGTAACGCATATGTGGTCTTAATGAACCATCTTGACCGATCAATTATTGGATAGTGATGATACTAGATTTATTGTTTTACATGTCATTTTGCAGTTTATGGTTAGCCAAGAAATATTTCCACCTAATTCTAAAATGTCAAAAAAATCAAAACATAATACAAAGTGAGATTTGGTCACTATCAAAATCTTACTTCAAATTTGTATAGATGAAATTTCCAAATGTAGAAAACCAAAAATTTCATTTAAAACTAAAATATGAAAAGTTGTAATAAAAGAATTTAATACTCGTGTTAATAAAAGTTATATTCAAAAGCAATTGAAAAATAGACTGTATAGTTTAAGGAATGAGTGGATCTTATGAAAATAATTGAAGGGCAAAGAAACATATTTAAGTTGGAACCATGAGACGGGAACCATCAAAATTGATGCCACATGGTGGGAAGTCAAAATGAAAGTAAGTATTTTAAATTTTATGCATTTCAACTATTGTAAATTATTTTATATATGCATGTTGTTTAAATTTTTTTTTTTAATGTTTATGTAAACCAATTTAAAATATGTCAGATTTTGATATCATGGGCTGGAATATGCTGGTGAATTAAAATTTATATCTGGGGATGCAGTGGCCATCAATGAAAATGTATTGACACAAACAATGGGTGTACCAATTGAAGATACTGTCAAATCTGCAAATCTAACTCATCTACAAGACAATATTGAATCTAATGGCAAAGAAATCAATTGTGATGAAGATGATAGCCCTATAATAAACACTAAAATCAAGAGGAAAAAAATGATGTCAGAAGAAATGGGAAAAAAAGTGACAAAGGATAAGACAAAAATTGGGATTGTAACAAGCTTGCAAAGAACATTGAAACAATTGTGTGAGACAGAAAGTCATAACACAACTGAAAGTGCTGAAATTTCAATGTTATCATAAGCCACATGATAATATAGTATTCTGGAATATGTTCGAGCATTGAAATCTCTACAAATTTAAAGGAGATTGAGTACAAATGAATTTAATTTGCACAACAATTAATTAAAAAGGAAGAAAATAAACTCATTTTTATTTCTTTACCAAATTAAAGTGATAAGTTAAACTAGATTCTATCTGAGTATAATCTATCAAAAAATTGTGGTGGGAGTAATTGATTAGTTTAGGATTTGATTTATTTATTTTATTTGATGTTGAACTTTAAACTACTATTTTTTTTATAGTTGTGTTACTTGTTATGTGTAATTAAATTGGTGTTTGAAAAAATTTACTATCATCCATGTTATATGTATTTGAATTGTTATTTGTGTTATTTGATTTGTTTGAAATAATATTTATTTTTTTAGTTAATTTATTTGAATTTCTACTTATGTATGTTGATATTGTCAAGCAAATATTTTATAATGAAGTTGAAGCATCAGTACAAATTGTAAAAAGAAGAAAATGTGCTAGGTATTATTAAAACATTTATGAAAGAGTTATTAGTACAATTGTATATCATATGAAATACTTAATGAAACAAGGAAATAGATTTAATTATTTTTATGGATGAAAATGAGTATTTAAATCTTTAAAAACTTCGAGTGAATATTATAAAATGTTTAAGATGATTTAGATGGAATCATTTGCCATATTGCAACTTACAAATATATTGATGAATAAAAAATAATTACATCCATCTAAAGACATGACAACATTTAAAGTGATCACTATATTTCTTCAAACTTGCGCACACATCGAAACAAATTGTATCGCTCAAAATAAATTTGAAAATCGAAAGAGATTATAAGTAAGAAATAAATCATAATGTTCAAAATAAACTTAAATGACACGCTTCAGATATATTATAATTAAAGGTGACAAAAATGGAAAGAAGGTCATACTTGAGTGACCTCTGGTGAATTTCTTTTGTTCTTATAATTTTTCCATCCTAGCCCCTTATCATTATAGATTAACAGATTGAACCCCCTATTATTTTCAACCAATTGCTCACTAGTCCCTTTTTTCGTCACCTGTCTCTAACTTCACACTCGTTCCACTTCCTCACTCTGTAGTCTGTACTACCCTTTTCCTTCGTTCATTTCTTTTTCCCTTCAAAACAAAGAAATCAAAATGCAAGAATAACCGTGCCATGGCACCAACAAATTAACATGAAACGTATATAAACAAGTAACGGCTATTCACTCATTTTGGACAAGACAATGGACAAAAGAAAAAATGAAACAGTAGCATTATGTCAAGCCATTATGCAGCACTAAATTACACAACACATTAACAGCACTTTAGTTTCTTAACAATATGATCTTATAAGCTAAGATCAAAATCACATTGAACCTTCAACTGGTTGGGATTGGTACGTGCGCCGCCTTAACTGAGACTGTGTATCAGGCTGTTGTAAATAGATTCTTGTTGGATCATTAGGGTCAACATATCTGCCAAAACACAGAGAGAACAGTTTACCAATAAGCCACTTAAGAATCCGGTGATAATATTATATGTGCTTGCTAACTATGTCACTTACGCATGTCTCATCATTTCATCAACAGGAGTTTGTGCTGCTTGTAAAGGATCCATACGAGGTTCTGGTCCAGGATTTACTTGTTGATTATATTGTCTAACTGAGGATATCAAGTTTAAGAAAAGTGGAACAAAGGTGCCACAGCCACCTTCCTTGAACAAAATCTTGAATGAATGAGTGGAGTAGAGAGCCCTATGCTCATTTTCCGGAACCACCTAGAATTTGGTAAAATTGAGACAGTAAGGAACCACTCAAAATCTGCCACGAGTTAACGGCAGAAAGTGTTTTTCTATTTTACTTACAGGCTCCACATGACCAGAAATGTTGTTGCAGTGAAATATCGGTTGGTTAAATTTTTCATCATGCACATAAAGCTGCATAAAGGAAGATAAATAAATATACAAATCAGTCTCAATATGTTGGATGATCTAGCAAAGATACTCTATCCAAAAGATTGACAGACAAGGCATAAGTATAGTCGCAACAGCAGCAATGAATGCCTGCTAAAGGATCATAAGCTCACTCATTTTTAACATTGATGCAGCAATCATTGGAGAATGAACACAAAGAATGATTAAATTACAGCTCTAGAAACGGAATGCCAAGACCAAAGGGACTTATGCTAAAAATTAGGGGTGATATGTTATGCAAAGCCATACTGAATCATTGTTAACAATTACTTTTCCACCTGTTATTGAGTACTAAAACAAGGGGAAATATTTTTAGACCCCTGCAATAAGTCATTCAATATCAGTATTCAAACATATAAACTGGAAGCTCTAGCAATTGGATGCCAGGAGGTATGTTATACAAACAAGCAAATGTAAGACGCGTATGCCATGATTGCTAGCTAATGCTTGAACCCAGAAGGAAATTTCAACCAGAAAGGGTAAACAACGAAAGAGGTAGCCAGAGACAAACGCAACAACCTTGAGGAAGAAATATAAAAAAAAGCAAAGTCTCAAGGTGATCAGACTACCAGGCCAACTAAGGTCTTGGGTTTGAGCACCGCTGAGCCCTCATTGACATTATCCAAAACCTCTACACAAGGCGAGTAGGGAAACCGCAGATTCTAGGTCCTGACCAAGGGTCTAAGCATCTATCTATCTATCTATCTATCTGTTTTACTCAAAACAAAAAGAAGGATGACGCACCAGGGGCATATCAAAAGCAAAGACATTCCCAACGGGGTGAGCAGCAACAAAGACCATCCGTATATTGGACAAGTAAATTGTGCCCCGTGCTTTAAAACGACCTCCGTTCGATCTGAAAATACCAACCATAATCAATTGAAACGGCATGCAGCTTAGCTAAAACCCTAAAAATGAAAATTAAAGATTTAAAAAGAAGAAAGAAAATAAAAAAGGGCGGGGGTACCCGGGGATCTTGTCCACCTCGAACTCGACGCCATCTCTAACCAGAACAAAGATCTCGTTGGTGAAAGGAACCGGCATACCATTTTGGAAGAGCTGAGGATTTAGGGCCATCGTTTCCCTTTCCCTTTGCCCTTTCTGATGGAAGGATTTCAGCTTTCTCGAGTAGGTTTCGGATGAGAAGCGTTGAATGTATATATTTATAGGCGTCGCTTATTTATTGTGACGTGTCAGACTTCTAGTTTAAGAGAATTCTACATCCTTCTCCACCGTCACAGCTATGTTGTCACAGCACGTCCACTTACAACATGTTGTCCGTTTTAACTAATCGGGCATGACAAATTTATTTCACAAAATATAACTAAAAATAATATAAATATTTAAATATTTAATTTTATTATATTACACATTCGATATAATTTTCATATCTCCAAGTACAACGTGTTACATTGCCGAATGAGAGCTTTCTACTACGGGCTTGGCTTGGGTGCTTACTAATGCTTAAAGTGGCGTAATCTACGCCTTATGTCAATATGCGCTACTAAAACATTCACTCAGGATTTGATACATCAGCCATATTCTTCAATATGTTGTCATGTGACAAAAGTGGCAAGACAATCCTAACCAACTTGTCTCTGTACTTTGCTGGAGTACTTTCATTTTCTGTTGAATTATTCGCATGATTGACAACAAACCCAGAAATTGAATCAAATATAAACCTTCACGTGACACTTTAGCTGTGGAAAAAGGTTGTTTGTCATTTGGGTGTCTGAAATATGTGTCTCTGGTACATAAAAAAATGTGAAATGCTTCATTCAAAAAATTCTGTGTTTTCTATGAACAACCATTTGTAGGTACACCTAAAAGTGAAGATACATTTGTATCGCTGGCTAATGTAAAAGGACTAAGTATTTCTTAAACAAGCCTTTTGAACCTCAACTATTCATGCTGGCAGGTCCATTAGTAATCTGAATCCTGGATATTTTTATGAGGCGTATGAAAGCAAATATTGCTGCAAATGTTTTGTTCTCTTTTTGTTCTTCAACTTCCGGAAGGCACATGACTCGATTTGCCGGATTCTTTCTCTGCTTACACCCATTAACTCACCGATTTCTTGTAAAGTTTTCATCCTTCCATCCTCCATTCCAAACCTCCATCTGATGACCTGCCTCTCTCTTTGACTCAGACTGTCCAACACCTTCTCCAGATCTTTCCTCATGAACTGCTTGATCAGCATATCTTCGGCTGTTTCTGCTTCAGGATCTGCAATTACTTCCTGGACAAAATTAACATAGTCCCATCAGAAAATGAAACAAAATTAAAAGTGTGATAATGATCACAGGAAAAATGAAGATGGAAAAAGAAAAAGAAATTGCCAGACTAGAAATAGGACAGACCGAAGGTTTGAGATTTTGGTTGATCCCAATCTTCTGATCAAGAGATCTAGGAGCCTTTGGAGTGAGTAGAACGGCAGTGAGCCTCTTCATGGAGAGCCCAGTGGCCTTTGCAACTTCTTCATTGTCAGGGTGTCTTCCATTTTCACTGTACAAATGCTTTCTAGCCTCTCTCACTCTATATGTTGCCTCAACCATGTGAAACTGCAAAGCCAAAAAATTGAAAAAGTTTTCAAATTTGACGCATTTACCTCAGTAATAACTACAATTATCATGAAATCATTGACCCACCGTGACAGTAGTTGGTAGTATTTCATTTATTATAGACAATTCCAAATTGCAATGCATTAGGGTAAGAACACTATTGAACTTACTGGCAAGCGAATTGTCCTTGACTGATCAGAGAGAGACTTCCGTACAGCTTGTTTAATCCACCAGTGAGCGTAAGTTGAGAACTTGAAACCTTTAGAAGCATCAAATTTCTCAGCACCTCTTATGAGACCCCGGCATCCTTCCTGTGAGTGAATCAGCAAGATTCAGATCTTAAAAGCCTAATCTAAGGCCACTCTTTTGCTATTTCTTTTCTTTTTTTTTCACGGTTCCATCCCACGATAAACTCAATTTGTTCAGCTGCTTGTAAGAGATCACATACCTGAACAAGATCTTGGAGATTCATTCCAGCTCCCTGATAATTTTTTGCAATTGAAATAACAAGCCGTATGTTGCTTTTGATCATTTTGTCCTTGCAAAGTACACCATAATTTAAGCGTGATCTCAGGGTCTTCTGATCAACTCCAGCAGCAGCAGCCCACTGTGCAAAGGTTGGCTGTCCTCCACATCGCTCTGCAAGCTCCTCCTGGAGCCTTTCCAGTTTCAGTAGGTCCTGAAGTCAGTAATAAGAGCGGAAATTAGAAATTTATAAAACAAAAAAGAAAGTCGAATTACACATCCAATGATAGTTCAAAATGCAATGAGCATGACAACTGTCTTTCAAACCATATAAATGAGCTCATTAAAACATTGATGGTCTACGATGCCAGATAATACGAACACACAGCAGACAAGCTTACATTCAGAAATCTCAGTGAGGCATTCATAGCATCATCTCAATAAATATCTCCAGGGTAACAGTAAGTGATTACAGGGAAGTTGTCTCCCTAGGGTCTTAGGTTACCAATATCCCAGTCAAATCATCATACCTGTATTCCTTCCGACAACTCAAGTTCTTCATTAGCAGTAAGAAGCCTGGAAGTACTGGTAGTCACTCTCAAGTAATGCAATGGATCAGAGTAGTCTACATCTTGCAAAGCACCACGCTTTTTTCTGTTGGTAGAACCTGACTTCACAGAAACAACATTAACAGCAGCCTTCTCTGCTGCTCTTGTTCTTTTGGCTTTTCGTTCAGTTTGGCGCCTTGACCTAACTATTATACTTCTTGATAATTGTTCCTCAAGGAGTTCAAGTTCTTCATTTGTGGGCTCTAGTTCATCAGATTCTGTTGTGGCGTTTTGCTCAGAATCATCTTCTTCCATTTCACTTTCATCTGTGGGGGAATCTCCAATAATACCAGCCCTCTCTGCTTCTGTAAACAAAGCCCACTTGGACGTGAAAGTATCAGTTGCAGATGAGACTCCAGATTTCATTTCTGTTTTTGCATAATTGTAGTTCTTAGCCATCAAGGCAGCATCCTTTGCAACCTTAACAGCTGCTCGTGCAAGAGCTACTGATTCAGCAGCAGCAGCAGCAATTACAGCCTCATCACTAGTGAGAAGATTTTCGGTAGCTAAAGTTGCTGCCAAGCTTGCCTGCAGATGTATCAAAGACAGTGCAATTGTCACTGTATCACCTACATCACAATATAACCTCATAACAAGCACCAAAATTCTGTAGCAAATTTTGGCTCTTTGACAAAGAGATTATTTAGTGAGATACTATAATTCTAAATATAGGCCCAAATGATAAAGCTTTGTATGACAATTGCACTGAGAATGATCGTCAGAACTGCAGCACAATTATCCAGAATGAAGAAGTTAAAAGAAGGCTGTAGGAGTGACCTATGATCCAGAGATTATGACTTAGCTCAATTTTAAAAAATGACCAAGAAAATGGAATTAGCAGAATTAAAACAGCCTCAATTGTTTCTAAAGGAAAAGTTATGCACTTGTAACCAAAATGCAATTCTTTGACGTTTACAGGCTCATTGTATGGCATGATCTTCATATGCAAGAGAGGATTCATAAGTATATCTAGAGGTAAGGAACTAGATGAAGGAAGAAAACATGTCCATTTCAGAAGTGCAAAAGCAAATACTCCACAATTTTTCGCTCAAGCTCTCAACTTCATATCCTCAAATGAACAAATCTGACCTCTGAGGGTGGACCAGTTGCCCCTATATATGTCCATGGTCTATCAGCCGCAACAGAATTTGGATGAGCTTCAAAAGATGGTAACCTTAACTTCTCTACATCAAGCACTGCAGTTGTCATTGCTGACGTTGATGATGAAGTAGTAGATAAAACACACTGTGTCCGGAAACATATATGTTCTTTATGTTTTGCTGCAGATTTCAGCCAAGAAATCATGAGAGAGAAACAAATAGTGAAAAATGATACCATTAATAATAAGGATAATGAGTACGCAAGAAACATTACAAGCCAATGAAGCTTTGCTGCTTTACATTTAATAAATTATGCAAAGAAAAGCACTTACAAACTACAAAGGCTTATCCAGGGCCCCACACATTACAGAGGGAAAGGGGGAGGCAAGCAGGAGGGGGCATCAGAAGTATTCACTTAAAAAGACAAACTAATATGTATATGTTTTTTATATTCTTCTGAGAAAAACAACCATATGATTGATAAGCACCTAAGACCACAAAGATTAATCCACTAACCTTAGGAGGATTAGCCAACTTGCCACAACTGCATTGCCTAGAAGAAAAGTATTTAACCATTCCAGTAACAGCAATTAAAACTAGCCTCAAAGGAAATGCACATGTATAATGCTAAAGCCTAATTAATGAAACAAGCCAAATTAAGGTAATTAATTCCTTAAATGATGAGGAACACAATACACTCTTAGTCCATTACGCCAGGCATTAACAAAAGGAACATAGATAATTCTCACTGAATACCACTAAGAGAAAAATTAAGTGGCGCTGGAATAACTTAAATTGTTATAAAAGTGCCAAAACCACATTAAATTCAATCTTGTGTTAAATTAAAAGTGCTTACTATAGAATGGCACTGAAAATACACAATTCAAGTAAAAAATGATCCGAATTATGGTAGAAATAAAAGGCCTATGCAGCCAGACCAGAATAAAAATTCATCCGATTACTACTACACATCCTTCATAGTTGTAATGGAATGGAAGGCATTGAAATAATGACCAAAAAGAAAGCACAGACATTAAAATTCAGGTTGAAAAAAATCCAACACCGGAGAATACCACTCAAAACTAGCACAGAAAGCAAAGCACACCCATTTCACTTCTTATTAAATGAAGTCTCTAGCTTTCAATCCAGTAGAAAAATAAAACTACCACCCATCTCAATGTTAATAGAAAACAAAGGCATTTAAGAGTCGTAACACTTACCAAGTTCAAAACTAGTACAAAAAGTAAAGCATACCCAGTTTAGTTCTGATTGAATAAAGTCTCTAACCTTCTATCTAGTTAACCAAAATAATTCTACAGCAACTACCCATTCCACTTCTAATTCAAACAAAGGCATTTCTGAGTGTGAAAACTTACAATGGTGAGAGTGGTGAGTTCTGAATTGGATAGAAAAAGTGTCAGGTTGGCACTTGAACTGTGGCAACAAACAGGACATCCTCTCCTTTCCCCTACACTTCCCTTCCGGCTTCTAACGAATATCCTTAAACAAAAGAAAAGACAGCAAACAAGTCAAATGCCATTTTCTTCTCTACAGCCCATTGATATGGATCCTCTAAAGAAGAGAAAAAAGGAAAATGGGTGTTGCTTATCAGTCTCCAGGCAGTGCCAAGGTGAAGGAAATAAGGAAGGAGAAGAGAAAAGAAGAGAATTTAATAGAAGGGTAAAGGGTGTATCGTGATAAATAAGAGGATAAGGGGGAGAAGGATCGCCTGAGGATGAGAGAGGTGCAACGGACACGAAGCCCTTTTCTTTATTTTGTGTTTTTACCACTACTGCCGTTTGCACCTTTTTCACTTTACCACCGCATATTCCCCAGCTAGAATATATATATATATATATATATATATATATATAAAATTAAAATCTATTTATAATTTTCCTATCCAATATAATATTCTCAAATTAAAAGTCTTATCTTTTGACTCTTATAAATCTATGATTTTTGTTTGTTTATTCGGTATTTTGTAATGCTAAGTGTTGGAAAAAATACTAAAATTAAATGTTTATATATATTTGTTAAAATGAAAACTAAATTCTTGGATTTTTTGAATTTTTATTGTTTAATGATAAGTGTAGAAATTGGTTGAATTTTTTTTTTTGGTAAAAGTGAAAGAGTGCAAAAGAAATTGGGGAAATTTTCTAAAGATGAAGTGTTTAATATAATATAATTTTTTTAAAAGCATTTAATTTGATACGAATTAAACAGCTGTATTTAAAAAGTATAGTACACTATATTTTTTAAAATTTTTAAAGTTTTAATATTTTATGTAAGACATAAATATATATTATTTACCACACAAAAGATATTTTGAGTTAAGATATTTATAGATTTTCTTTATAGCAAAAAGTAGGGTTGAAGAATACTCGATGGACTCGAAAAAACCAATGGACCTTAATTGAATTTGGGTCAAACAGGTAGATCTCTTCAAGTTTTCTGTTTTTCAGATTTTTTTTATTTGATTAATTCAATCTATTCGATTGATTGTCGATGAGAAAATATTTTTATAGATTTACAACATTAGGTTATAATGTACTGAATTTGGTTACAAATTCACTAAAAGGATTAAGAAATGTAAGGTCAAAATTGTATGTTTTGTTCTTATATTCCTTTACAAGCCACTCCTAATAATTTTTTAAGTAAAATGCATTGATTTTTTTAATTTTTAATTATAATTACATACAAGTTTAGTAATTTTTAAAATAAATATTTTATCTTAAAAAATATTTTTTTTAGACACGTAACTTCTACTATTAGTCTAATATTAAAATTTTTATTAATTTGACGACATGGTAATATTTAAAGATAAATTTATTCTTCATTAATTTTATAAATTACTATTTTATAAATTATAATTTTATTTTATTTTTTTTAAATGTTCTCAACTGATCATCCCTAGAGAATATGATCAATACTCATTAGGAGAGCACTAGATCGTTCATGCTCCTTTAAGAAGCATGATAAAAGGATTTAGTGCTCCCTAAGGAAGCTCCAGATTTGAGGTGTGCGGCCAAATCTTATGCTTTTTTGGAGAGATTTGATCGAATTTAGCATTTCATAGTTAGATCTAATTGCGAGATAATCAACTAGTGTAAGCTGCCTTGTATATGGGTGAGGCAAGCAGAATCATTTGTGAAATCACTGGCACCGCATGCAATGAGCCATGCTTTTGCATGTGTCTAAATTTGAGGTTCAAATTAACATGGGATGCAGATTGTTGAATTTTTAGTCTATTTCGATCAGGTCAGTGGAGCTTTCAGTAGAGAGGTTTCTTGAAGTTGGGTCATTTTTGCAATGTTTTCGGTAATGGTAGGGATGAGGGAGCACGTCTTCTATAGCCTATAGTCATCAGTGATTTTCAATGGTGTATGATGACTGTGACATTGCATGGCTAATAACTCCATAATTTATTTAAACCCGATGGTGGTAGCTGGGATGATAACAATGGTTGGTGAGATATAGAGGGAAACATGTTACCACTGGTTTTTCTTTAAGGATGTTCCAACTGTACCAACAGTAGCAAAAATATCCTCAGACTGTATACAGTTGCATTTCTTTAAATCTTTCCATGTTCTATGAGTCTACCTGGCAAGGTAAGGTTGTGTGCATGTTAGTCCTGGCCTTTGCCCCAGGCTCACAAGTTTAGGCCTTTCTCTCTTCCCCCAATCGGACTTTCAGATTCAGGCTCACAAGGTAGTTCTTGTCTTCCCTCTGATTGAATGCACTTGTGCTCTACAAAGTATGCCTAAGCTACTGTAATTTTCATATGTAGAAAGACTTTGCATGCAGGCTGGAAGTCATTTGTTCTTTATGCGTGTCAATATGTGTGCATGTGTCTAAAGCATTACTCTGCTTTCGCTAAGGACATACTTCCATCTTCAGTATTGTAATCTTAACTTCAATAAAGAACATTGGTTGAATTCTTAATACTTTTTTTTGTTTTAACTTTAGAAGTTTCTTTTTCCTGCACTCACTCTGGCAATTTTGATGTTTCTTCTACTCGGATGATCTGGTTTGCACTCAAAGTAGGTAGGTAGCTATTTCTGTTCTATTACTTGCCAGTGAATTTTCCTGCCTTCCCCTTGGTTGTATGAATTATTTAGTCCCAAAATAATTTATTATGCCTTTGTTAATGTTATTTTAATCTTAATCCAGTTTTTGTAAGCATGACACTTGTATCTATAAAACCTAACTTCATGTTCATTCATGCATATCACTGAAGCATTTACAACATTACTCTGCTTGTACAAAGATACACTTAAAAGATAGAGTTGTAGTACATATTTAGTCCATCCTCAGACTGGTAACCTCATCTTGGTGTGGAAAATACTTCAATGAAATTTTATGACTGTTATTTTTGGTACCTTAACTGGAGAGTCCAAATCCTTAGGATTTTATTTGTTTTGTTTTTTAAATCTTCAAGGCTTAGGATTAGTTGACACCCAATGTATGTTTTTGACTGACTCAGTTTTGATTCGGTATAATGTTGTTTACAGGTTCAGTTCTTTTTGTATATTGTGTAAGAGCAGCAGTGTCAGCAAGCATTTTGGGGCTGGTAGGTATTTTTTGTTGTTCACCAGCATATAGGTTCTGGGTTGTTATACTGATATGGGTTTTTAGCAATACTCCTTTATGTCTAATATGTTTTACTGATAGCAAAGGAAAGTTTATATGCTTTACTGATTGCAACTTGTAATATGTGTAGAGTAGTTAAGGTTGTGATGGAATGTTACAAAGATATATGTTGCAATAGCAAAGTTTCATCCCAGGTGCAACCTGGTAAATATAACATTCTATCTTGGTCCTACAAAAAAAAATTGACTCTGTTAATGAAATTTAAAAAATTCATTCTTTGAAATTAGAGATGTCCAGCTTTCTAACTCATATTTATTGCTTTTAGTTAGTGCATGCATAATTTGTCACAAAGTGTTAACTAAAAGCAAGCTATTACTCCAACATTTCAAATGGGATACAAACATTAAAGTAAGTTCATTAAAGTAGGAAAGGAAAGGTGTGGCTCACAGAATTGCTGGTTTGACACTTTGTATGTCAGCTAATCACTAGGTGCTTTCCCTTAATTTGTTTCAGAGCAATCAAGTCCAAGTCAAGTTAGGAGAGGGCTCAACCCAAATAGGCTCAAACCACATCAAAAACGTGGAGCACTTATTTCTTACACGACAGCTTTCTTCCCTCAAATCATAGTGCAGTATGCGATCGCTTATAAATTGATGCCACCGCCAATCAAAAGTGTCAGCAGAAGGATAATTTAGACACCATGCATCTAGATTAAAAGAATCAACACATATCACTTCTCTTTCATGTTCAATAGCCTTCTTAGCATCTGTGAGGAACAAATATTCTGGATCCTCGGGGCCAAGATTTATTGTTGTCGCCACCAATGCATGAGGACAAGATAATTCAATTTCATAACACCCAAAACAAGCATGAATGCGAAGAAGAATTTGTTCTCCACGCTTGACAGCATATGAAACCAGTCTAGAGAAAGTGTAAAAGTTAAAATCAAGGCCTAGTATACTAGGAGAAAAGATGTAGTGATGAACAGTATCGAATGCGCCAAGATGTCCATTGGAATGCAAGTAATACCATATTCCCTTAGTAAAGACTGCATTAATAATCGGCCCCTCACGCCTACCTGCATAACTAGTCCAATTAGATTCTCCTTTCCTGCACAGATTAATCATAACACGATTCCATCAGACACAATATGCGATGAAATCCATGCAATCTGGGGATGTAGGTGGAGCAGATATGTCAAATAGAGGTTTACGTAATTTGGTTACGTCCATCGAGGGAAGCACAATTTTGGCCTTGGAGAATGGGTTGAAGAAATAAAGTGATGAGGAGGAACAAGAATTATCATTGCCTTTAAAAAGAAGCACCCACCCGTACTTGGACAACAGGATTCGTGTTTCGCATAGATCTGGCATGTCCGTCTTGTATGCAACCCCAGAACATATGTTCCCCAGCAAGCCTGCTGTGTGCAACACCGGGCAGCCCCTATGTTTCCTCCCTACTGGCTCTATCTTCAAGACAACAAACCATGGAAGCTCTCTTTCTGGATGCTGTTGTAATATAATAGAAGAAGAAGAAGCATAACTGGAGAAGGCCAGACGCCAACACTTGGAAACAGCACGAAATTTTATGTAATCTGGACTGATAAATACCTCAATATAATTTTCAGAACATCCACGGGGAGACGACAAAGACAGTAGGTCTTCTTCGCTCCAGTTTTATTTATTTCCTCACCCTCCATCTTTGGGTGACCTACTGAGCAGAAATCACTACGCGGACGCCTTCCTCTGTTGCCTTTTGTTACGAGGGTTTAAAGAGCGCATTCGTTATAAATTTATATATCATCATGAAGTTCCAATTACACCCTAATTCTAGATGTATTAAGAAACGATGAATTTTAGGAAAATAATAAATATGAGAAACGTTTCACATTTAGGGCGAACAAAGTGATCACTAATCATGCAAATAATATTAATGAATTCCTAACTTTTTTCTCTTGCCTTGGAAAGGATTCAAGTTTATCTCCTCGCTTCAACATCATATCACTTTTATCATTAAAAAGGTTAAAAACCAAACATTTGAAAGGTTGATGGCCAATTTTATTAATTTTTGTATAAATAGTAGTACTATTAATTTTTGCATTGTATGGTCAAATTTAATTAGGATGATCAAAAACATATAAGTATTGTTTTGATGTTGCCA